TTAAAAAAAAAACCCCCAAAAATTTACCCTTTTTTAACCCCAAAAACCCCTTTTTTCCCCCCTTCCCCCCCTTTTTTTTTTTTACCCCCAAAAACCCCACTTTCTTTAAAATTTTTTCCCCCCTTTTTTTTTTTTTTTTACTAAACCCCCCTTTTTTTTAAATTTTTTTAAAAAAAAACCCCCCCTTTTTTCCCCCTTTTTAAAAAAAAATTTTTTTTAAAAAAAAAAATTTTTTTAAAAAAATTCCCTTTTCTTTTTTTTCCCCCAAAAACTTCCCCCCCCCACCTTTTTTCCCCACTTCCCCTTTTCCACCCTTTTACCCCTTTTCCACCTACTACCCCAAAAAAAAAAAATTTTTTTTAAAACCCAAAAAAATTCTTTCCCAAAAAACCCCCCAAAAAAACCCCCCCACTACCAAAACTACCCCCCTTTTTTCCCCCAAAAAACCCCCCCCCCCCAAAAAAAAAAAAAACTCCTTTTTTTTTAAAAAAAAAAAAAAAATTTTTCCCCCCCCCCCCCAAAAAAACCCCCTTTTTCCCCTTCCCCTTTCCCCCTTTTTTTTCCCCCCCCTTTTTTTTCCCCCCCCTTTTTTCTTCCCCCAAAAAATTCCCCCCCTTTTTTTTTTTTCCCCCCCACTTTTTTTAAACCCCAAAATTTTCCCCTTTTTTTAAAACTTCTACTAAAAAAAAATTTTTCCCAAAAAAATTTTTTAAAAAAAAAACCCAAAAACCCCCCTAATCATTTGACAAGTGACGAAGAACAGTTACATAAGACGTGAAGACTTTGTGGAACTTGCTTGTGTTGTGTGAGAACGCACAGTTGCAGGAGGCACAAATACTTTATATAATGTGCTTGTGTCACTTGAGAATGCGAAGTTGTAGAGGATGTAAACACTTCCAAGTATTTACTTATGTTATGGGTTCTCCTAAGATTGTTTATCTCTTCTTATGAGTCCAGTCTCAAGTTATCTGCTCCATGTTTCCTGTGATTCTCGTATCAAGTGACTGGGAATCTTGCTCTGTGTGTATGTGTGTGTGTGTGTGTGTGTGTGTACTCACCTAGTTGTACTCACCTAGTTGAGGTTGCGGGGTCGAGTCCAAGCTCCTGGCCCCGCCTCTTCACTGGTCGCTACTAGGTCACTCTCCCTGAACCGTGAGCTTTATCATACCTCTGCTGAAAGCTATGTATGGATCCTGCCTCCACTACATCGCTTCCCAAACTATTCCACTTCCTGACTACTCTGTAGCTGAAGAAATACTTCCTAACATCCCTGTGATTCATCTGTGTCTTCAACTTCCAACTGTGTCCCCTTGTTACTGTGTCCAATCTCTGGAACATCCTGTCTTTGTCCACCTTGTCAATTCCTCTCAGTATTTTGTATGTCGTTATCATGTCCCCCCTATCTTTCCTGTCCTCCAGTGTCGTCAGGTTGATTTCCCTTAACCTCTCCTCGTAGGACATACCTCTTAGCTCTGTGTGTGTGTGTGTGTGTGTGTGTGTGTGTGTGTGTGTGTGTGTGTGTGTGAGTGTGAGTGTGAGTGTGTGTACTCACCTAATTGTACTCATCTAATTGTGGTTGCAGGGGTCGAGACTCAGTTCCTGGCCCCGCCTCTTCACTGATCGCTACTAGGTCCTCTCCCTCTCTGCTTCCTGAGCTTTGTCATACCTCTTCTTAAAACTATGTATGGTTCCTGCCTCCACTACTTCACTTGCTAGGCTATTCCACTTCCTGACGACTCTATGACTGAAGAAATACTTCCTAACGTCCCTGTGACTCGTCTGAGTCTTCAGCTTCCAGTTGTGACCCTTTGTTTCTGTGTCCCCTCTCTGGAACATCCTATCTCTGTCCACCTTGTCTATTCCCCGCAGTATCTTGTATGTCGTTATCATGTCTCCCCTGACCCTTCTGTCCTCCAGTGTCGTCAGTCCGATTTCCCTCAACCTTTCCTCGTACGACATTCCCCTGAGCTCTGGGACTAACCTTGTTGCAAACCTTCGTACTTTCTCTAACTTCTTGACGTGCTTGACCAGGTGTGGGTTCCAGACTGGTGCTGCATACTCCAGTATGGGCCTAACGTACACAGTGTACAGTGTCTTGAACGATTCCTTATTAAGGTATCGGAACGCTATTCTCAGGTTTGCCAGGCGCCCATATGCTGCAGCAGTTACCTGGTTGATGTGTGCTTCCGGAGACATGCTCGGTGTTGTACTCACTCCAAGATCTTTCTCGTTGAGCGAGGTGTGTGTGTGTGTGTGTGTGTGTGTGTGTGTGTGTGTGTGTGTGTGTGTGTGTGTGCCTAATAAGCCAAATCGATAGACCAGTTCGGTCCAGACGCTCTGCAGCATATCTGGTGTTATCATGCGAACTGCTTCAGTGATCGAAATTTTCAGCTCCTCCAGGGTTGCAGGTAGTGGTGGTGGTACATAAACAGGCCACTTGCAGAGGACACCGGACCTAACTGTTTGTGACTTCTTTCTTTGGGGGTACCTGAAGAGCACAGTTTATGTACCACCACCACTACCTGCAACCCTGGAGGAGCTGAAAATTTCGATCACTGAAGCAGTTCGCATGATAACACCAGATATGCTGCAGAGCGTCTGGACCGAACTGGTCTATCGATTTGGCTTATTAGGCACACACACACACACACACACACACACACACACACACACACACACACACACACACACACACACACACACACACACACATACACACACACACACACACACACCACAAACGACCACTCAAGAAAACATAAGTTTTTCTTTCTGTGGTGAAAAATAAAAACTGGGTTGTCAAAGAGCAGGATGGAGAACCAGGGAACTGGTGGATGAACCTGGGAGGGATGATTGGGTGGCAGGGCTCGTGAAAAGGTAGGAAGAGTGGGGAAGGAAGCTAGACATGCTTAACAAGAAAATGGATGAGAGGATAGCTGCAGAGAGCAGGAAATGGGAGCTACGAGCCATAGCAGCAGAAGCTAAGATACAGAGCATAAAAGAGGAACTAAGAAATCTGAAACGGTCTAAAGAATCGAAGAGCAGTATAGACACGGCATCAAGAACTGCTACATCATTCACAGATAAAGGTACTGTAAGAAACAAAGGAGCTATACTGTATTCAGCGGCCCTATCAGACCACCATAGAGCCCAGTAAAAGATGAGCACACCAGGAACAAATGAGAGGACTAAAGAAAATGAAGGAGTTAAGCTATATGCAGAAGCCCTAACTGACCACAGCAGTGCCCAGGAAAAGGTGAGAAGAAAAAATGAGAGACCACTGAGCACAGGGACATCAGCTAGAGAAGAGATTGAAGGAAGGAATGCTTTAATGGAAGCAATTAAATCGTCTCAGGGGATGCAAAGGGAAATGCTGTGGGAGGGCGAAAGGGAGAGGTCAGTTTTTGTTTATGGGCTCCAGGAAGCTAAATGAGAAACTTATGAGGCAAGAAAAGGAGAAAAAAGTGATTGAAAGTATCATGAAAGCAATAGGAGAGGACGACACGACCCAGTTGACAAATTTTCTGAGAATAGGGTGGTTTGCAAGAGGAAAAAACCGGCCAGTCAAAGTGATTTTCAAGGCAGAATCAAATGAAAACAGGATCCTGCAGGAGAAAGCACTACTAAAGGACATACTGAAGAACCAGAGGGTGTACCTTGATTGTGACAGAGCACAAGAAGAAAGGCAGAAACTGAAAGAGAGGGTACAAAGATGCAAGGAGGAATGAGAGGCAAAGAGATGGAGATGAGCAGGAAAACCCAGACTCAGGAAGAAAAACACATACAACCTCCCTCAGAACTACTCACAGAAGGACCTCAACCACAACAACCCCTATGCATCTAAATAATCTAACCCAAAACCCACACACTGTACACTGCCCCCACCACCCTCATCACACTTTTCACTCCCACAGCAACCCCCTATAGTTCCCCGCCAGGTCTCCCACTCCCCCAACCCCAACGTTCTCCCCAGACCACAGTTTTAGACAAGAAGTTGAAGGTTTGGTATTCGAATGCAGATGGAATAAATAAATGTGAGGAGTGGCATGAAAGAATCAAGGAGACGTCCCCAGACATCAAGGCAGTCACAGAAATGAAACTCACCAGGATGATAACAGATACAATCTTCCCACCCAGATATCAGATCCTGAGGAAAGATACAGAGAGCAGAGGGGGAGGAGGAGTTGCACTACTCATTAAAAACCGATGGAGATTTCAGGAAATTGGAGGAATGGACGAAACTAGTGAAAGGGACAACACAGGTACAATTTAGTCTGAGGGACTGATATATAATCCGCCACAGAACTGCAGGAGGCCAAGAGAAGAATATGAGAAGAACAACAGAGCAATGGTGAACACACTAGTTGAGGTGGCCAGAAGAGCTCACACGGGTTACTAGTTATGGGTGATTTCAACTACAAGGAGACTGACTGAGAAAACCTGGAGCCACATGGAGAGCCAAGATGATAGATGTAGTACTGGAAAACCTCGTGCACCAACATGTTAGGGACGATAAATGGAAAAAAAGAGAATCCTGTATCTGAGTTATTGTGTATTGTTCCAGTCGGTGTGCATTTTTGTTTTTAATATATATGTGCCGAATAGGTAAAACTTGCAACGCTTTTCATGCTGAATAAGGCAAGTGAAAATTTGTGTATGCAGTAATTTCGCAAAAATCATCCTGAAGCTAACGAAAAAATATATTTCATTGTGTTTGTTTGTTTATTATTAAATTATTGCAAACTTATCTAAAATATACTTAGTTGGATTAGGGTAAATTAAATTGCACTTGTTATAATGGTTAAAATAGTGAAATTCCAAGCGCTTTCGTGACTTCTCACATTATCAAGGAAGTTGATAATCTGAGAAGTAACGAAAGCGCTTGGAATTTCACTAATTTTTCACAGTGGTTGTTTTGCATATTGTGATATCATTTGTTTGTTGTGATTATTATGTTACCCACACACTTGTTGCATCACTAATTCACATTTTTTTTTCAGGTTTCTGATGATCAGCTGCCATGTCTATGGGGGGCAGGGCCCCCTGAGCCCCCAGTGCTCCCCTGGTCGCACCCTGGGGCACACGTAAGGTGTTTCGCCCTGGGGGTAGGCCAGTCTGCTTTAGGAGAAGCCCCAGGGAGGGCACGAGACTGTTGACGACACCCGGAGAGTAGACCACGGTGGGCCAGGAGCACAGCATGTCGGCGCCCACACACTACTGACTGATCCCACTACCACTACCACTACCACTACCACTACAACTACCACTACCACTACCACCACCAGCGGATATGCAGCTGTGACGTCACCTGGAGAGTGGCATCACCAGACAAGGGGCTGTCAGTGCCCGCTCAGGGATCACAGTGGTTAACAGGCGGTATCAACCCCCCCAGACACTGAGGTGTAACCATGTTGTGCAGCACCCCAGAGTGAGGGGTGGCAGGGTGCACGAGTGGTGGCGCTGAGTGCACGGAGAACACTGCTAGTGAGTGTTAGTGAAGGGAGGGAGGGGGGGGAGGGGAAGAGGCTGTCCATCATGCCCAACATGAACCTGAAGAAGCTGTGGAGGAAGAAGAGTGTTACCATCACGGAGTATGACCCCACCTACAAGGTGGTGTACCTGGGTAACGTCCTCACTGGCTGGGCTAAAGGTAACCTCATCTGGTTTTATCTCTTTATATCTACCTCGCTCACTATTACCCACACGGGTTTGCCACTACTTCTAAATAGCAGCAATATTTCTCACTTTCAATTTCTCCAATATTAATCAAACATTTCATAATCCAAGTCAGTTATATATATATATATATATATATATATATATATATATATATATATATATATATATATATATATATATAATATATATATATATATATATATATAACAGAGAAATTCCAAGCGCTTTCGTGACTACTCACATTACCAAGAAACAATGTCATTGTTCCTTGATAATGTGAGTAGTCACGAAAGCGCTTGGAAATTCTCTATTCTTTCACAGTGGTTGTTCTGCATATTCTGAAATCACCTGTTTACTGTGATCGTATTGCATATATATATATATATATGTATATATATATATATATATATATATATATATATATATATATATATATATATATATATATATATATATATATATATATATATATACCGAATAGGTAAAACTTTCGATTTTGGCTTAAATAGCAACACTCTTCTTGCCGAATAATGCGAAAATTTGTGTATGGAATAATTTCGCAAAAATCACTTTGAACTTAACGAAAAAAATATATTTCATTGTTTGTTTATTATTAAATTATTGTAAACTTATCTAAAATATGTTTAGTTGGATTAGGTTAAATTAAATTGCGCTTGTTATAATAAGGTTAGGTAAGTTTTCTAAGGTTCTTTTGGTATAAAATTATTAATTTTTACATTAACATAAATGAACAATATATATCTTTAAACGTATAAGAGAAAATTTTAGAAAGAAATTAATTTTAAATGAGTTCTTCCTAACTGACCAGTTTTACCTATTCGACACGATATATACAAAGGATAAAAACAAACTATGAATGAAAGTAAGAGAACTATATGTAGTCAGGTGAAGGTTACAAGTGTAAGATAAACCAGTCAGGTGAAGGTTACAAGTGTAAGATAAACCAGTCAGGTGAAGGTTACAAGTGTAAGATAAACCAGTCAGGTGAAGGTTACAAGTGTAAGATAAACCAGTCAGGTGAAGGTTACAAGTGTAAGATAAACCAGTCAGGTGAATGTTACAAGTGTAAGATAAACCAGTCAGGTGAAGTTACAAGTGTAAGATAACCAGTCAGGTGAAGGTTACAAGTGTAAGATAAACCAGTCAGGTGAATGTTACAAGTGTAAGATAAACCAGTCAGGTGAATGTTACAAGTGTAGATAAACCAGTCAGGTGAAGGTTACAAGTGTAAGATAAACCAGTCAGGTGAAGGTTACAAGTGTAAGATAAACCAGTCAGGTGAAGGTTACAAGTGTAAGATAAACCAGTCAGGTGAATGTTACAAGTGTAAGATAAACCAGTCAGGTGAAGGTTACAAGTGTAAGATAAACCAGTCAGGTGAAGGTTACAAGTGTAAGATAAACCAGTCAGGTGAATGTTACAAGTGTAAGATAACCAGTCAGGTGAAGTTACAAGTGTAAGATAAACCAGTCAGGTGAAGGTTACAAGTGTAAGATAAACCAGTCAGGTGAATGTTACAAGTGTAAGATAAACCAGTCAGGTGAATGTTACAAGTGTAAGATAAACCAGTCAGGTGAAGGTTACAAGTGTAAGATAAACCAGTCAGGTGAAGGTTACAAGTGTAAGATAAACCAGTCAGGTGAATGTTACAAGTGTAAGATAAACCAGTCAGGTGAATGTTACAAGTGTAAGATAAACAGTCAGGTGAATGTTACAAGTGTAAGATAAACCAGTCAGGTGAAGGTTACAAGTGTAAGATAAACCAGTCAGGTGAATGTTACAAGTGTAAGATAAACCAGTCAGGTGAATGTTACAAGTGTAAGATAAACCAGTCAGGTGAAGGTTACAAGTGTAAGATAAACCAGTCAGGTGAAGGTTACAAGTGTAAGATAAACCAGTCAGGTGAAGGTTACAAGTGTAAGATAAACCAGTCAGGTGAAGGTTACAAGTGTAAGATAAACCAGTCAGGTGAAGGTTACAAGTGTAAGATAAACCAGTCAGGTGAAGGTTACAAGTGTAAGATAAACCAGTCAGGTGAATGTTACAAGTGTAAGATAAACCAGTCAGGTGAAGTTACAAGTGTAAGATAAACCAGTCAGGTGAAGGTTACAAGTGTAAGATAAACCAGTCAGGTGAAGGTTACAAGTGTAAGATAAACCAGTCAGGTGAATGTTACAAGTGTAAGATAAACCAGTCAGGTGAATGTTACAAGTGTAAGATAAACCATCAGGTGAAGTACAAGTGTAAGATAAACCAGTCAGGTGAAGGTTACAAGTGTAAGATAAACCAGTCAGGTGAAGGTTACAAGTGTAAGATAAACCGGTCAGGTGAATGTTACAAGTGTAAGATAAACCAGTCAGGTGAAGGTTACAAGTGTAAGATAAACCAGTCAGGTGAATGTTACAAGGTAAGATAAACCAGTCAGGTGAATGTTACAAGTGTAAGATAAACCAGTCAGTTGAAGGTTACAAGTGTAAGATAAACCAGTCAGGTGAAGGTTACAAGTGTAAGATAAACCAGTCAGGGAATGTTACAAGTGTAAGATAAACCAGTCAGTGAATGTTACAAGTGTAGATAACCATCAGGGAAGTACAAGTGTAAGATAAACCAGTCAGGTGAAGGTTACAAGTGTAAGATAAACCAGTCAGGTGAATGTTACAAGTGTAAGATAAACCAGTCAGGTGAAGTTACAAGTGTAAGATAAAACCAGTCAGGTGAATGTTACAAGTGTAAGATAAACCAGTCAGGTGAATGTTACAAGTGGTAAGATAAACCAGTCAGTGAAGTTTACAAGTGTAAGATAAACCAGAGTCAGGTGAATGTTACAAGTGTAAGATAAACCAGTCAGGTGAATGTTACAAGTGTAAGATAAACCAGTCAGGTGAATGTTACAAGTGTAAGATAAACCATCAGGTGAATGTTACAAGTGTAAGATAAACCAGTCAGTGAATGTACAGTGTAAGATAAACCAGTCAGGTGAAGTTTACAAGTGTAAGATAAACCAGTCAGTGAATGTTACAAGTGTAAGATAAACCATCAGGTGAAGTTACAAGTGTAAGATAAACCAGTCAGGTGAAGTTACAAGTGTAAGATAAACCAGTCAGGTGAATGTTACAAGTGTAAGATAAACCAGTCAGGTGAAGGCTACAAGTGTAAGATAAACCAGTCATGTGAAGGTTACAAGTGTAAGATAAACCAGTCAGGTGAAGGTACAAGTGTAAGATAAACCAGTCAGGTGAATGTAACAAGTGTAAGATAAACCAGTCAGGTGAAGGTTACAAGTGTAAGATAAACCAGTCAGGTGAAGGTTACAAGTGTAAGATAAACCAGTCAGGTGAAGGTTACAAGTGTAAGATAAACCAGTCAGGTGAATGTTACAAGTGTAAGATAAACCATCAGGTGAATGTTACAAGTGTAAGATAAACCATCAGGTGAAGGTTACAAGTGTAAGATAAACCAGTCAGGTGAAGGTTACAAGTGTAAGATAAACCATCAGGTGAATGTACAAGTAGAAAAAACCAGTCAGGTGAATGTTACAAGTGTAAGATAAACCAGTCAGTGAATGTTACAAGTGTAAGATAAACCAGTCAGGTGAATGTTACAAGTGTAAGATAAACCAGTCAGGTGAATGTTACAAGTGTAAGATAAACCATCAGGTGAATTTACAAGTGTAAGAATAAACCAGTCAGGTGAATGTTACAAGTGTAAGATAAACCAGTCAGGTGAAGTTACAAGTGTAATGATAAACCAGATCAGGTGAATGTTACAAGTGTAAGATAAACCAGTCAGGTGAAGCTACAAGTGTAAGATAAACCAGTCATGTGAAGGTTACAAGTGTAAGATAAACCAGTCAGGTGAAGGTTACAAGTGTAAGATAAACCAGTCAGGTGAATGTTACAAGTGTAAGATAAACCAGTCAGGTGAAGGTTACAAGTGTAAGATAAACCAGTCAGGTGAAGGTTACAAGTGTAAGATAAACCAGTCAGGTGAATGTTACAAGTGTAAGATAAACCAGTCAGGTGAATGTTACAAGTGTAATAAACCATCAGGTGAAGGTTTACAAGTGTAAGATAAACCAGTCAGGTGAAGTTACAAGTGTAAATAAACCAGTCAGGTGAAGGTTACAATGTAAGATAAACCAGTCAGGTGAATGTTAAAAGTGTAAGATAAACCAGTCAGTGAATGTTCAAGTGTAAGATAAACCAGTCAGGTGAAGGTTACAAGTGTAAGATAAACACCAGTCAGGTGAAGGTTACAAGTGTAAGATAAACCAGTCAGGTGAAGGTTACAAGTTAAGATAAACCAGTCAGGTGAATGTTACAAGATAAGATAACCAGTCAGGTGAAGTTACAAGTGTAAGATAACCAGTCAGGTGAAGGTTAAAGTGTAAGATAAACCATCAGGTGAAGGTTACAAGTGTAAGATAAACCAGTCAGTGAAGGTTACAAGTGTAAGATAAACCAGTCAGGTGAATGTTACAAGTGTAAGATAAACCAGTCAGGTGAATGTTACAAGTGTAAGATAAACCAGTCAGGTGAAGTTACAAGTGTAAGATAAACCATCAGGAATGTTACAAGTGTAAGATAAACCCGTCAGGTGAAGGCTACAAGTGTAAGATAAACCAGTCATGTGAAGGTTACAAGTGTAAGATAAACCAGTCAGGTGAAGTTTACAAGTGTAAAGAAAACCAGTTCAGGTGAAGGTTACAGTGTAAGATAAACCAGTCAGGTGAAGTTACAAGTGTAAGATAAACCAGTCAGGTGAATGTTACAAGTGTAAGATAAACCAGTCAGTGAAGGTACAAGTGTAAATAACACAGTTACAAACTTGGCAACCTATTTACACAAAAATATACATTATGTATATTTACCTGCAATGACCAGTGAGTCAGTGTACCCAGTGGATATTACAGTGATAGAACCCAGTGGAGATCAGTTGACCCATGGAGTC